ACATCCTACAAAATCAATTAAAACCAATAATTAAGCTCAAACAAACACCGAAAAAGTATGGAAAACACGACAATTAACATGTCAATAATACGACTTATCATTATTGATCCGACAGACGTGGACCAACCTTGACGAGGCGAGGCGATAAACGCGTACACGGATGCCATGGTGATGATCCAATGGCGACTTTCCCGTAGACGACCAATTCAGTGTGAGTCACTGCGAAAGGGGAGATCCAATACCTGAATCAGAGGACACACTCAACAAGGTCATGATTGTGTTTTCTCCGTAACATTGGAGATTGATTAACGACCATGATAGTTGGATTATAATTCCTAGTTTATTATTGTTTATTAATCATGCATGTTTTATGTGATTGTTTATGTGCAAAATCAAACATGTTTTAGAAAATCCCGTAAAATAAAAATTATATTAAGTGTGTAATGGGTTGAAATAAATTACATCCAAGGCCTCCATTATAGGTTTGTCAGTGAAGTGATTTAATTAGAGCCCAAATGACGTTTTATTTCACAGTTCACAAGGACAAATATTCTTCGGGATGGTTATAGTAAGCTATTTCAAAAGCGTACGGGTCACCCAAAGGTGGACGTATAATTTTGGTAGTAAACTTAGTACCAATTAACGGGTTACACTTAAAGTGCAAATAATTACAATAGTCCCAAAGGATAAGGTCGTTTTTATTCTTTTATAAGTTAATTGCGCTGGCCAAAAGATGAAATCGACTATTAGTTAAGTATTGCTCGACAGTATGTTAAACTAATGGGATTTATCCATTCTCTTGCGAATGTTTGAACCGTAGACGTCCACACTCCGTGGCCTGCGGGGATTCAGTATTTTGAGGTGCTGGTGAATTTATTTGACTATTGTTACATGGGATCGATATTTGATGTTTAAATTTAAAACTACTTGACTGAGTAAACACTATGTTTTCATGATCCCAGGAATTCAAAATGTCTTTCAATTCGTTGTCCGTAATTCTCAAAGAAAACAAACTTGTTGGTCCCAATTATATTGACTGGAAAAGGAACTTGGATATTGTGTTAACTGTTGAGGGGTACAAATTTGCTACTGTTGAGGCTTGTCCGGCTGTGCCTGCTGACGATGCACCAGACCAAGAGAAAGAGGAGTATGCTCGGTGGAAAAAGGTTGACGAGATGGCGAAGTGTTACATCTTGGCATCTTTGTCAAATGTACTTCAACATCAACATCAGTATATGAACACTGCAGTAGAGATGCCTCTCAATCTCAAGGAGTTATTTGGTCATCAGTCGCGGGCTGCCCGACAAGAGGCCATGAGGGTTCTGATGAACATGACCATGCGTGAGGGCACTCCCGTAAAGGAACATGTTCTTGCTATGATGGCCCAGCTGAATGAGCTGGAGGTTCTTGGGGCTTTTATTGACGGGGAAACCCAGGTCGATATACTGTGCACGAGTTTGAATTAAACCTGGGCTCTGATACCAGTTGTTGGGTTCTATGAGGAACGTCAAACAACATGCACATTATTGAACTTATCGAAATAAATCTTAACGCAGCAAAATCTATAGTTTGGATATGGATGTTTACCTTTTAAATTTTTTGTCGACTCTGAGACGGTGTAAAGTACCGTTGGTGTGGTTCGTCTGAATACCACAATCTAATGGGTGGATAGATTTAGCCTTTATTCGATTCTAATCGAAGGTTCCAGCAAAGCTCGGTAGTGTCTCGGTGACGGGTGCAACGGTTCGGTCGTGGGCATCGAACGCGGGCAGCTTGCGAGTACGCGGAGCAGCTGCACGAGTAGCTGGGAATGCTGCGTCGGGCGCTGTGAGCAGGTGTGTGTATCGCGGACATGCGCTGGCAATGTACGTGCGGGATGCGGAGGGTACTCCTATGCCGCTGCAGAGTGATGCGCGTGACTGGGGACATGCGTGCTTGGGGGGGTTTTTGGGATAAAGATAAGATGGAGGATATTCTCGGTGAGGGTGAGGGTTTTAGTAGTCTAGAGATTGACCAGATCCGACAGATTCCCATTCTGGAGGGAGGTTTGGATGGCATGAGGTGGAGACTTACATCTTCGGGTGCATTCTCTACGTCATCAGCCTGGGATGATGTGAGGCTGGGCAACCGGCCAAACCGCCTCTTCGGTGCCATATGGACCGACCTTCTCACCACGACCATTTCCGTCTTTCTGAAGCGCCTCCTATTACGGCGCATTCCCATTGACACTGTGATGCAGACGATAGGGTTCTCCTTTCCCTTCCGCTTTCATTGTTGTGCTGGGACCGGTACCTTTGAGATCGAGACTTTCACCTATCTTTTCCTTGAGAGTGAGACTGTGATGAGAGTGTGGGAGCACTATGCCAGATATACTCATATACCCCTACCCACTACAGACAATTTTTTTTGAGCTTCTGAGTTTTTTCTCACACCGCACACACGGTAGACACGTGGGCTTCCTTATTCCTTGTCTGATCCTATGGGCCATCTGGACAGAAAAGAATAATGCGAAGCATAGAGATATTATATTTTATTGTGCTCACATTATTTTCCAGGTTGACAGACACCTCTCTCTCCTCACCGCCCTGGGTAAACTCACGACGAGACTGGACAAGGTGTAAACCGCCCCATCGTTTGAGGCCACCACCTCCTTTACCTGTCCAGCATCCACGACCCAGGACCGTTGTTTGGCTTAAACCCAAGTCCCCTTGGGTTAAGCTAAACACTGATGGTGCTTTCGACAGACATACCGAAGGTGCTGGATGAGGGGGCCTGATTAGGGATTATGGTGGGGCACTCATCTCTGCCTTCCATGGGCCACTCCGGGCCTCCTCGAGTTATGATGCAGAGATTCAGGCGCTCCAGATTGGTCTTGACATTGCCGCCTCGATCTCCTCCCATATCTAGATAGAGATGGATGTTGCAGTTTTCATCACACTTCTGACATCTGGCCACCAAGGCTCATGGCAGATCCAGCATCCTCTTATGCGCATCAGAAACACCCTCCGCTCGATCCATTATCAGATCTCACACATATTCCGGGAGGGGAATCGGCCCGCTGATTTCCTTGCTAGCACAGGGGCATCTATACCCCAGAGACGCACCCTTCTTCCTGAGGACATTCCCCTCCGGCTTCAGACGCTCATTCGGATGGACCAGCTAGAGTACCCATCTTTCAGATTCGGTCGACCGCCATCACCTGCCCCTGACTAGATTTGACGTTTTGGACCCCATGCCAGGTCACTCTGACCAGGACGACCTTTTATGAGGATTGGATTTTAGATCCACATCAGATATTTTTGTGATCCTTGTACTTTTTATTTTTCTGTTTTTTACGTTGCCCTATGTATTTTCGACTTTGATGTAGACCATTGGCTTTTTTAGCCCTCTCTGGGCTATTATATTCACAGGTCGGGAGTGTAGCCTCAACCCCCTATCCCACTCTGGGATGTTTATATTAATATATATATATGTGTATATCAATAAAATCGCAGGTAAGAAGATAAATCGAAAAAGATATATCCTAGATAAATTTTAGACTATTAGATTATTATTAGTATTTTAAGCAAGTCTATATATATAATCTATGTGTATGTATTACCTTTGTTCGGGTCAGTTGTTCGTTTTTTGATGATGTTGTGAACAATGTCACTATTGCTTTTCCCTCCAATTATAAGTACTTCACTCTTAAAGGTTCTTCACATACAAATATGTCAATTAGTCTGTACGTCTGCAAAAAAAAAAGGATGTCGACATTAGATATTGGATAAACTGAACTAAAAAAAAAGACTGTAGAAGGAACCGATAGTATGAGATTGAATGTAATACGATGAATGCATTAGAAATATATGATATTTATAGGGATATGGTTGATATCCTGTCGGATTCAACAACCATCCGATATTTTTTATTCTGATATGATTAATATCCCGTCGGATCCTATCCGATTTACTTGATTATGCTATGATGAGTTGGCAAAAATATGTGGACAATTTCGATGTAATATTAACAATTAATAAATTTGTGAACAAATAAAATCCTAAAAAATCAGATTCTATATCTGTTGGTAAAAAAAAAAAAAGAATAATTGCCAAACAAATGTAAAAACTGAAAAGCCGTCAAATCGTCAATTTTGTAGATGCCCAAAAAATCGGTAGTTTTCGTGGAAAATTGGTAACAACAATTCATATATAAAATCAATCAAAATCCTAGCAATATAGTTAACAAAACCCTATAACATTGGTAAAGCAATTTCGATCATTATCTTCAAGATTTTGTAGTAATTATTAAATTGTGAATATATAAAATTCCACAGAATCCGCTGAATTGGTTAAGAAAATCCAAACTAATTTTGCTATGAGAGATTTATTACTTGAATTAATGATCTTCAAGATTTTGTAGTAATTATTAAAATTGTGAATATATAAAATCCCACAGAATCCGTTGAATTGGTTAAGAAAATCCGAACTATTTTTGCTATGAGAGATTTATTACTTAAATTTAATTTTAACACGTGGCGTCCATTGGTGTTATTTAAATTATTAAGTGAAAACATTATTTTTTAGGTCTTTTTGTATTTTTTCAACAATCTCTTTATATTATTATAGATTATAGATAGGTCGGGTATGGTCTAATAATATGAGTAAAAGCTAGTCCACAAGACTGCTGGTCCTAGAGGCTAGAACCTACTTGACGTGCCTCTTCCCCATTAAAATCAAATCTCACCCCAATCCCAACTACAGATCTAATACCTGCGATTCAATGAAAATCCCCGATCAGACGATGCAGTACAATAACCTGGGCCGGTCGGGCCTCAAGGTCTCGCAACTTTCGTACGGCGCGTGGGTTACCTTCGGCAACCAGCTGGACGTCAAGGAGGCCAAATCCATCCTCCAATGCTGCCGCGACCAGGGCGTTAACTTCTTCGACAACGCCGAGGTCTACGCCAACGGGCGGGCCGAGGAGATCATGGGCCAGGCCATAAAGGAGCTGGGCTGGAAGCGATCCGACATCGTCGTTTCCACCAAGATCTTTTGGGGCGGGCCCGGCCCGAACGACAAGGGCCTTTCCAGGAAGCACATCGTGGAGGGGACTAGGAGCTGCTTGAAGAGGCTGGATATGGAGTATGTGGATGTGCTATACTGCCATCGGCCGGACATTGGGACACCGATCGAAGAGACGGTGAGGGCCATGAACTATGTGATCGATAAGGGGTGGGCTTACTACTGGGGGACCAGCGAGTGGTCCGCCCAGCAGATTACGGAGGCCTGGGGCGTGGCTCAGAGGCTGGATCTCGTCGGCCCTATCGTTGAGCAGCCTGAGTATAATCTAATCTCCAGGCACAAGGTAAATGAAATTGGAGTGGTGAGAGTGGATTTTCTAAACTTTGATTTCATCATCTTTTCCCCTAGCGTGTTCCGTTCCGTGGATCAAATAAGTGATATATTTTTTTTTTTCTCTCTCTTTCTCTCTTTTGTGTTCTTTTGAGATTGATCTACTCTGAAGTGATATGCGATTTTGGTTAAAAAAAAAAAAAAAACGGCAAGTTTGAGGTTTTCTGTGTTTTTTGCGATTAACTAGACTTGTAATGGTAGTTCTTATGCCATCTCCAAGGGAAAAACTCAAACTCAAACCCATTTTGCACTAACTATCCCATTTTGCAGTAATTCATCTCCAACCAAAAATCCCATTCTCAAACCCAAAAGAATATTCTAATAATATTCTCTTTTACACCAACTTTTATAACTTTTCAATACTACCCACATATTTTACAACTTTACAAATTAAACCACACTATTATTTTAAATTCAATTTGGACTTTATGTAATTAAAATTAATTATACAAAATAAAATCTGAGAAATAAATATTCATTAAAAATTAAAATTTCACCACACAAATAAAATTAAAAATTACAATTCACAAGATGAAAAATTAAAAATAACAACACACAAGATGAAAAATTAAAAATTACTAACACACATGAAAATTAGAAATTACAACACGCAAAATGAAAATTTAAATATTACAACACACAAGATAAAATAGAAAATTACAACAATCACGTAAAAATAGATAGTCTTTCAAGTCTCGGAGTTGGTGAATTCTTCCTATAAATGATCAATTAGTGTATTCCGAAGTGCAATATGATCATCTTTATTTCTAATTTTTTTGTACCGAGATATAAATTCTTGAAATCGAGTACTTTCATCTATTGCCATTTCGACCACCGGCGGCGACGTTTCCATTTCAGTTTCTATTGGTGTACTTAGGTCACGTTCATCCTCGACAATCATGTTATGCAAAATTATACATGTGGTTATGATATCATGTAACACTTCTTTTTGCCAATAACGTACTGGTCCTGCTAAAATGCCAAAACGTGATTGAAGAACTCCAAATGCACGTTCAACGTCTTTTCTGCAGGCTTCTTGTTTCATTGCAAAATATTTTTTCTTTGGACTACGTGGCTCATGAATTGTTTGCACAATGGTAGACCATTTTGTATATATGCTATCAGCTAAATAATAACCCATGTTGTATTCTTTTCCTTGAATTATATAATGAGCTGGAGGAACAATACCTTGGGTTAGATCCGAGAAAAGATGAGATAATTCTAGAACGTTGATGTCGTTGTTGGAGCCCGACAAACCGAAATAAGCATGCCATATCCATAGATCATAATCTGCTACAACTTCAAGAATGATTGTAGGCTTTCCACTACGACCAGCATATTGGCTAGCCCACGCTGTAGGACAATTTTTCCACCTCCAATGCATGCAATCTAAACTTCCCAACATTCCTGGAAAACCACATTGCTGGCCAATGTATAGAAGCCTGGAAATATCATCAGATGTGGGCCTCCGCAGATATCGCTCGCCAAATACCTCAACTATCGATCGACAAAATTTTTTCATACTTTCAATTGCAGTGGACTCACCAATTTTAACATACTCGTCTGTAGCATCAGCTGGAACGCCGTATGCCAACATACGAAAGACAACAGTTATTTTTTGTATTGGAGATAATCTAAGTCTGCCTGCTCGATCCACTCGTTGTTGAAAGTAATGATCATGATCTTTGACTGCGTCGACAATTCGAAGGAACAACGAGCGAGACATTCTGTATCTTCTACGTAACATGGTCTCGTTATACAATGGATTTTCTGAGAAATAATCATTGTACAACCTACGATCAGTAGTCTCTCGATCACGATTGATAAAAATATGCCCAGGAACAGATCCTCCATGGGAGGCTTCTTGGTTTTGTTGATTGATAAGATGTTGAATGATGATGTTGTTATTAGCGATAGCTTGAGCTATCACTGCTTGTTTTTGACGAAGAGCATTCATAATTAGCATATGATTATCCTCAGAATCAGAGGAAGAAGATGCCGAATTGCCAAAATTAAAATTCATTGTAGAAAGGTAGAGAAATATGATAATATGTTTGAAGAGATTCAAGTGTGTGATGGATTTAGTATATGTTATGTTCTTATAGTAGTGAATTTGAAAGATGTGTTAATCTTTGTGGGGAGTGGTTATTTTCAAGTCAAAGTATTGATAGGCGTGACAGTCTTTGGGGTGAGAGGTCATTTTTTGTCAGAACATGGATAAGCGTGATCAACTTTGCAGTGATGTGTCATTTTCGGGTCAGAACATGGATAAACGTGATCAACTTTGCTGAGAGTGACCACTTTTGGGTCAAAGCATTGAGAGAGGTGGGGGACATTGTAGTGATGTGTCATTTTCGGGTCAGAACATGAATAAGCGTGATCAACTTTGCAGTGATATGTCACTTTCGGGTCAGAACATTGATAACCGTGATCAACTTTGCAGAGGGTGTCCACTTTCGGGTCAAAGCATTGAGAGAGGTGGGGGACATTGTAGTGATGTGTCATTTTCGGGTCAGAACATGAATAAGCGTGATGAACTTTGCAGTGATATGTCACTTTTGGGTCAGAACATTGATAACCGTGATCAACTTTGCAGAGGATGTCCACTTTCGTGTCAAAGCATTGAGAGAGGTGGGGGACATTGCAGTGATGTGTCATTTTCGGGCCAGAACATGAATAAGCGTGATCAACTTTTTGCAGTGATATGTCATTTCGGGTTAAACCATGGAGAGAGGAGAGTGTCTTTCACTATAAAAGAAGATATCATATTGTAGTGAATACACCCCAACATTTTTATTCTCTACACTAAAGCTTTAGCACAATTAATTTCTTGTAAGAATGTCAATCCGTTCATCTTCCTATAACCATGATGAAGATGTTCTTTTATGTCAAGTTTATATGGATATTTCTCAGGGCCCAATTATTGGGGTATACCAATCATCTGATCGATTTTGGTCCCTATTGAAAATGCTTTCAATGAAGGACGGCTTGAGCATTCGGAGGTTAGTACCAAGAGATCTATGCAAGCACGAATTCAAACAATCGAAAAAGCAGCCAAAAGACTCCATGCATGCATTAAAGCAGTAGAAGATATGCATCAGAGTGGTGCATCAAATGAAAGATACAGTGAGTACTAAAATCTGATTGTATTTTTTATTTATTAAATTTTTTATTTATATTAGCTATGGTTGATTGTTTATGAAAATTGTAGATGCTCAGAGCAAAAGTGTTGTTCAAAGAAGATTCCAAATTCAAATCCAGATGGAAATACGACCATGTTTGGGATATTATTAAAAACTTTGAAAAATTTAAAGATGGAGTTGCGAGGAGCAAAAAAAAAAAACATTCTGGTTGTTATCCATCTTCGGAGTCAGAAAATCCAACTCCCGAGTTTGCCCGACAAGAATCTGCAGGTATTTCTTCATTTTCTATAAATTTAAGTGACTCCGATCAATTTGCTACTGGTTCTCCATCTGAAAGACCTATCGGGGTCAAGAAAGCCAAACTAAAAAGAAAAGTAATTGATGATTCATCATCGCTCATCAATGCGATGAAAGAAGCAAATAAAAGACTTGTTGAGGAGATGAAAAATGCAAACGACCAAATAAAACATCAAATGGAGATGCACAATAGATCCCTCGCTTTAAAGAAATGAGGGAAGAAAATAAAATTCTGTTTCAAGATGTCAGTTCCATTGAAGATCCTAGAGTTCGAGCATACATTGAAGCTGAAAAGGCACGAATCTTGAAGAAAAGAGTTCAACAAGCCCAACTGGATCCATATCCAACCAATGCATTTGGCCAATTTTTCAATGATCTTGGAGGAAGTGGTGCCAACTTGCCAGATTATTAAGTATTCGTGCCTGTTTTTAGTTTTTGGGTTTATGATGTATTTTTATTTTAGTACTGTGTGATCTTGTATTTTTATTTCAGCACTAGTTATTGAAATATTTTTCTTTAAACCGTGATGTATCATGTATTAGTCTTATTTCAATATGTATTAGTAATGTCGTTGTTATTTAATGCTAGTGTTTTCTTTTATTGTTAAATAAAAATACCATAAGAGCCACTTCATCGACTCTACAATTATTTTATTTTTTTATTATTTTTTTTTGTGTATTATTATTGGTAAATTTTTGTATAATGTGTATTAGTAAATGTATTTTTTATGCTAAATAATTTGTGTAGTGTATTTTTTATGTTAAATATTTTGTGTTTTTTATTTATTGATGTGTTATAATTTTATTTTGCAATTTTTAATATTAAAATGATACTATATGAATAAAAAATTTTCTTATCCTACATTTGTATTTTAACTACATCTTCATTTTAAAAGTGAAGAAGATACATATACATCTATGTACCGATTGAATCAAAACTGTTATTTTTGAAAATATATGATTTAGTGCAAATTCACACTCTAGACCATATATGGTCTAGCGCATATATTCACATTTTAAAAAATGTTACTTTTTTTTTAGTAATTTACACTCTAGACCATATATGGTCTAGTAATTATTATGAAAAATATATAATTAATATTCACTATTTCAAATATTATATGAAAACATATAAAATTAATATATAACAAAACATTATTTTAATAAACATGGGCTAAAATGAAAAAAAAAATGAAAAGTAAGACAAATAAAAGGAGGGACTAAAATGAAAAAAGAAAAAGTTGGGACGCAAATTATGCGTCCAGACGCAAATATGCGTCCAAGGAGATGAGAGAGAGGAGAAAAACGCAAATTGCAGATGCGTTTGGAGTTCGGTTGGAGCAATCTTGACTGCAAAAAATGGGTTTTGGTGTTCGGTTGGAGAAGGTCTTAGATGTTATATATTGTTTCCTGCAAAATTTCAGCTGTTAAAGGTACAAGCTTTGCTACCTTTCTGTTAGTGTTTGATTTCAACTATTCAAGTAATTCTCTGAGTTTAGTTTTTTTTTTTTTTTTTTTTTTTTTTTTTTTTTTTTTTTTTTTTTTTTTATCCCCCTAAGTTTTTTGTTATTAGTGGACCCTTCTATCTAATCTATGGAGAATCTGAAGGATTGAACTCAATCTTCTCCTAACATGTGTGTGTTGTTCTGTTTGCTTTGTGATGCAGGTTGAGTCTGAGTACCTTCCTTTATACACTAATTATGGTCTTGGCCTCACTACATGGAGTCCTCTGGCTTCTGGAGTTCTAACTGGGAAGTACAACTCCGGAAATATCCCTCCGGATAGTAGGTTTGCTTTGGAAAATTATAAGGTAAGGAATTAAAACCAAATATTAAGTGCTTTCTTTAAAATGATGCTAATTGTTTAATTTATACATAACCACTATTTGCTTTACCGAGAGGCTTCAATTCTTCTTTTTTTTTTTGTGGACCAAGTGAGAACACTACTGCATTAATGTGCTTAAGAGGCATATTTTGTAATTTAGCATGTTTACTTTCCTCTTTACCCTTATACATATTTGATCATTCCATGTTTGTATGGAGTTTCACTGCCACCCTTGAGCCTTGTGCTATGAATTGAATTCTGTTACATTCTTTACCTCTACTTGTGCGGTTGTTTGGGTGCTTCAATTCTAGCTACAAACCTGCTGCCCTTTTCATTCTTTTTTCCTCACGATCATATTTTTCTTTCAAAATCACTTTTTTTTGCAGAATCTTGCCAGTAGATCATTGGTAGATGATGTGCTCAAGAAAGTGAATGGGCTAAAACCAATTGCAGACGAGCTGGGTGTGCCTTTGTCTCAGCTAGCAATTGCTTGGTGTGCATCAAATCCAAATGTCTCATCTGTCATTACAGGTGCCACCAAAGAATACCAGGTTAGCACTATATGCCATTGCCTTTTCTTGTCTATAACTGTCACT